CCTGCCGCATCCCTAATTATTTTAAGCAAGCCAGCATTCAGCCTTTATTTAAAAAGCATAACCTTGATTAATCTCTTCCACAGAACTATAGACCCATTTCTAAGCTTGCTTTCATATCCTAAGTTCTTGATGGTGCTAACTCAACTCTTAGCTGTGTTAGACTGGGTTTCACAAACTTCACATTACAGAAACCGCCCTCATTATGGTTACATACGATTTACTGATGCCGATGCTGGGGAGTCACATGTTTTATTGTTGCTCAACCTTAGTAATTCGCTTAACACTATTGATCAAATAATTGAATTTCCTGTCTCCATTGGTACTTATGTTTCATCTTACCCTCTGCTGAAGTGTGGGGTGGCTCAGGGATCTTTTCTTCATTTTGTTTTCCTTTTATATGCTTCCATTAGGAAACATTATCAGTTATTTTAAAAGAGTCTCTCATCACTGCTACGCTGATGATACACATGTTTACTTGTCCTTTTAGCCAGATAATATTAGCTGTCAATGTAATGGAGTTCTTGTTTGTTATTGCGAAATGGATGACTTGTTATTTTCTGCAGCTCAACTCAAACAAGACAGAAATAATAATATTTGGCCCTGATCACCTAGTAAGCAAACAGCAACCGTTTATTGGTCCACTGACAACCAATTTAAAACGTTCCACCTTAGAAATATTACCAAAATAAAATGAGCTATGTCCTTTATCTTTTCACACCTGGACTATTGCAGTGCACTGTGTGTGACTCCCTCTAGTGGACGTTGTGGACTATTCTGTTGTCTTTGCTCCAAAGGTTTTTGTACAGAGTTTTGGTGTTTCCTGTCACTGTGGGCTGCAGAGCACAGTAGTACACAGCAGAGTCTGTCACTTTAGCCGAGATGATCTGCAGATTCACACGCTTGTCTGTTTTGTTAATGTGAGCTGAGAAAACTGAACCAGGTGAATGAATCGTTCCTCCCTCTGTGATGGAGAGCAGGAACTCTGGTCTGGATCTCTGGTATTGTTGGTACCACTGGATATTGTTGATGAGACCCTCATATTTACAGGTCAGGTTGATGTTTCCTCCCTCTGAAACATGTTCTTCAGGACTTTCTGGCGTTATGCTGTTCATGGAACCCAGGGCTGCAAAATGAGTCATTCATGTCAGTTAGTCTGCAAGAGATTCTAACATCAAGAGACTCAACGGAGGTTCTTGACTTTCTGGATTCATTCAATAAACCAAATGTCTGTTTCTATCATGGAAGTTGTTCCCTTCCACAGAGAAACCTCTAGTTCTGAAATGTAGACCAAATATCTGGTTAATCCAGCAGGTTAATGAGCCTTTCATCTGTGTTCCAACACTCACCTATGAAGTGAGAGCAAAGTAAAAAGAGGTAAAGCAACATGTCTTTGGAGTTGTTAAAGCCAGACAGACAGCAGATGAGCAATGTTCTTCCACTGCAGTAGAATGAAGAAACTAAACAGTCTCTCTGCTGCACAGCCCTTCTCCTCAACATCAAGCTGATTGTGCTTTTAGTTCCTCAAACATTTCTGCTCTGGAGACGCAAAGAATCTCATTGGTTGAGTTGGACTTCAGTGGGCGGGGCCAGAGAATCCCCTTTTTAGAGATTGGCTGTCTACCAAAGTTCAGTTCAGCCAGTGAGATTATTTGTGCATCCAGAGCAGCTCTGCCTCAGAGAAATGTTTCCTGAATGTCCACTTTCAGTTCTACACACCATTGTGAGACCGAGGCAGGTCCCACTAGAAGGAAGCCTACCTGAAGACCTGCTCTGTATTCTGGGAACATGGAGGACATTTCATTAGGGACGTCCTGATCAGGTTCTTTTGTCCCCTGTTCCAATCAGAGTCATTTAAAATTAAGCATCTGCCCAAACAGAGTCCCTATCTGAAACTTGTCCAAAATAACAGAGCAACAGGTTAACACATATAAACCTGTTTTTTCTGAGCAGGTATCAGCAGAAACACTTTTCTTTATCAGGGAGCAGCAGAAACAGTCTGTGTTCAGTAACAAGTGTCCCTGTTAGAGTGAGGTGAAGTGTCGCAGTCGCTCATGCACACGCCCGCCTGCTGCCAAAGGTGAAATGTCCTGAACTTTTTGTACGCCTCGCGATCGATGTGCTAGCAGGTAGGGTTAGCCTCCAACGGCCTTTTCTGACCCAGAACTGTCTGAACAGGCTGTGTCCGTACACAGCACAGTTTTCAAATCCATGTTCCCACCGGATTCGTTTGGCTTCTGCCTGGAATTCACTGCTTCTACCCTCAACTACTATCCATCTCAAAACACAACCATGTCTGACATTTCATCCATTCTGCAAACACTCTCCTGCGTACCTCATCAACCTCCGCAACTAACCAACAACATCTGAAACCATGGGCGGAGCGGAGGGGGTGGGGCTAATTGGGTTTAAGCACTAAAGAAGAAGAAAAATAGAACTCTTCTTCTTTGGCATCGTGATAGGAGGCTGTTGTCTGTGCTGTTTTACTGGCGCCCCCTCAGTGAGCGAGCGTGCTAGCTAACCAGCTAGTGTTATGGACAAAGTTTGTTATGCGCAGAGGTAAACCTGACCGGCCGTTCACATAGAGAAGCAGCGTCAGACAGTGAACAAGTGTTTCAGGTTTGTGAGTCTGCAGCTGTAACACTTGAGTTCAGTGACTGTATTTCTGGCTAGTTAGATGTTATTAGGTGATATTATCTCACTATTAGAGATGTTCGGCTGATTCTGAGGCTCGTTTCCCTCCTGTGAAGCGCACACTTTCAACACATTGTGCCTGATTTTGTATCACATGATCATCTCAGGGCGTTTTCCAGCTGATCTCAGCACATTAGTGGGATAAGAAGCGAGAACAATTGAGAAATATGGAGATAAAGATTAGAAAGACATGAGAGAGTATGAGAAAGTATGAGGACATTTCCTCCTGGTGACAAATATACCAAGTAGCCTACAGGTGCATCTGCTGTAAAATAATTTTCTTCCATAATTTAATTCAAAAATCTAATTTTATAAATATTTCAAGCCTTTTTTTCATTTTAATCTTGATGATTAGGGCTCACAGCTCATAGAATCAAAACTCTAGTAAAACAAAATGTATTAGAATTTCAGAATAAATGATTTATTATAGAGAAATGTCGACCTGAGAAGAGCTCTTATCAGCTAATTAACTCAAAACACCTGCAAAAGTTTCTTAAGCCTTTAATCTCTGTCTGGTTCTGGTGCTCACAATGAACTTTTCCACCATATTCAGTTTTTTTAGATTTGAGATGCTCCTGTACTGATGTAACAAAAGTAATAATAGGCTAGTTTAATGAATATCACTGTCCAATCACATCACATGTCTGAATCTCATAAATATCAACCGTCAGGTTAACCCTAACCCTTTTTGACTTTTATTGCACACATGAGACTAAAGTTATTAGTTTCAGCCAGTTGTGGTGGCGTCTCGGCCTCAGTCTAAAAGTTTTACACGTCACCAGATGCAGCTGTGTTTGCTTAGCTTAAAGCCCCAAAGCTTCATAATGCTTCATCCACTCATCACCACTCGCTAGCTACTGTCAGCTGATCTGACTGTGTTTGAGTCTGAGACTGTTATTTTGTCCCCCAGATGAGTCAGCTGGGGAAGAGGAAGGACGGGCGTCACAGCAGCTGGATTAACTACAAACTGGTGATCCAGGGACTCCAGAAGAAATAAACAGTGAAAGCAGGTGAAATGGAAGAGGGACAAGAGATGAAAATGTGTTTAGAAGAAAGGAGTGAAGGGAGCACAGATGCCAGAAGTAAAGAGAATAAGATATGCATTTAATATTTATTGCATATTAAGTTTAGGGCTGAGAGAAGGACGGTGGTGACCATGAAGGAGCTGAAATTAAAGTAAATTAGGGATGTAAACTAAGCTAATGAGACGTTTTGGATTTTAATGTGTAAATGAAATGTTTAGTAATTATCCACTCACATACACATTATTCAAAGATTATTCAAAGATTTTATAAATGTTTTATAATCAAATAGAATCATGAGGTGCTGAGAGATTCCCTCCTCCAGTGATGATCAGAAACACCATATTTCTACTGTACCTTGGTTATGTAAGTTAAAAACAGAAACATCAGATAAGTTTTGTCTCTTTTTAGTTGCCAGGAGAGAAAATGAGTGATCTTCAACATTAGTTGTGTTTTGGATTAACTCCAGCTGGAGAACAATTAAATCCAAAATAGATTGGAGCTCTACAGGACGATTATTTTCCAAAGCAACGTTCATCTTTTTCCCAGATAGTGTCTAGGTTGTTAGGCATTCTATCATCTCAAACGGCATGAAAAATAGTGCACGTAGCTGGCTTAATGGGAAAAAATCTCCCCGGGGGTGCATGGCCCCGGACCCCCCCAGGTTTGTGCTAAGCCCCGAATGTTTACAGCGTCTGGCTCCGCCTCTGTCTGAAACATCTTTCCATTTGAAGTTTCTTCTTGGGGTTCTATGTGATACAGAGCACATGAAGAGACTGTTCCTCCCTCAGTCTCAACTCCCCTGGATCCCTCCTGCCTACCTGCCACCGATCTATCGTTCTCTTCCTTCCATCCATCACCATGATCCCTCCCCTCAACTCTCCATCTCTCACCTTTCCATTACCTCATTCATCACTCTGATCCCATATTCAAAATCCATATCTTTACTGGCCTGGTCTTTGGTAGTGAATGGAAACTGATGTTGTGATTAAATAAAGAATTGAACAACTACTACGTGCTAGCTATTTTAGGCCTTATCGAAATATTTTAAACCTAGAACATTTAAACACGTTTATTCATTTAGGGTAAATATATTTTTAGTGGCTTCATTTCTAAAGTTTTACATCACAATCCTGGTGATGGAGTAAACTGATTCAAGACTTCATCATCACACTGAAGTTTAACAGTGTGTGACTCCCTCTAGTGGACGTTGTGGAGTATTCTGTTGTCTTTGCTCCAAAGGTTTTTGTACAGAGTTTTGGTGTTTCCTGTCACTGTGGGCTGCAGAGCACAGTAGTACACAGCAGAGTCAGACAGCTGAAGCTTCTGGATCTTCAGAGGAACTGATCTAGAGGTGGAATCCAGTGTGGATGAAAATCTCTCCTTAAACTCAGCCTCTGTTTTTACTTCGACCCCTTGCATGCGGCTCAACATGAATTTGGGGCTGTTGTTTCCATCCTGTTTGTACCAGAAGAGATAATTATTTGTTGAACTGCTGTTATATAGACAGCCAAGTGTTACTGTCTCTCCTTCAGCAGCAGTCACGTCTCCTTCTGGTTGCAGCACGTTGTCTTTTTGTGCTCTGCATTCTGTAAAACAGCAACAAACAGTATCAGTATGCTGTTAAAGAATCATGTCAATGTTGGATTGATATCAGAGAACCAGAGTTGTGTTCATACCAAGGCACACAGCAGCCAGCAACACTGAGATGAACAGAGGCGTCATATCTGCAGTGTTGAGGAACTGTGAGCTCCAGCAAGTATATAGAAGGCTGTGATCTCTCTGTTTAGTCTTCATCAACACTAAATTGGTGGATTAGAAGGAGGAGCCTGATCACAGTGACGGGGCTCATTCACAGCCCTGTGTTATTCCCCGACTGACAACTTTACACTCAACACATTTTCCTCACTCTCTCCTTTCCTAGTGTGACAATTAGGATCAATTAGTGAATGTTTTTAATATGGTATCAGCATCATATTAAAGGCCTGTCAGTTTGCCAGCCTGTCCACAGCTTCTCCAGATAAAGGGCTAAAATATGAAGCCTGTTCAGAACACATAAGGATCTCCAAAACCAGCTCGGTGGTGTCGACCATTTCAAACTGGATGTTGCACTGAGAGCGAATGGTTAAGAGCTGCTACCACCAGTTTACCACAGTGAAAGTAGAGGCTTCAGCAAACACTCCCTCACTCCCACAATGGGGCAGTCACGTCTTTTCTAGACTCCAAGGGCTGATTTAGGTGCTTCGATCTCTGGAGCTGCCGCATTACTGACAGTGAAAGCAGAGATGTTTGTGTTAATTATGGTTGGACATCTCCCCCTCTAACAAACGAAGGCAGTCTGTGCAAACATGGAGCTTATTCTGTCTCTAAACACTGGTGTGAAACTGGTCATGACTCAGGCTTTGGAGTGAAACATTAAGGTGTTTGTCCATCCTTGTCTGGATGTGAAAGTGCAGTGGGACTCTGGCCGACGTTACATACCAGCTTATTATTACAAGGCATCAAATTTTTTTCTTTACAAAGGCTCAAACAAACATACAGAGTGCAACCAGTAAAGTATTTCCTTTCCCTCAGTTCTGGTTTATATAGCATAGAGCATATCTGCCCTAAATGGTAGGTTTTGTCTCTTTTATTCAATTTAGCAGGAAACATATTTCAACCCATTTATCAAATTGTCCCATAGATGTTTTATCTTTCTCAGTCGTAAATTTTATAACTGGCAGAAGGATTTTAAGAGCTGTTTCCCACTCAGTTCTCACTTTACTCCAACATATCCCTTATTTGTTTCTCTACGTACCTGTACCTTCATCTCTGGAAATCACACTTATGCTGCCGTTCAGTGGTGAACAGTAATTACGTACATTTACTCAAGTACTGTACTTATGTACAAATGATTATATTCTGTTCATGCCACTTTTGTGTCTCCACCAAACTCAGACTGAGAGATTGTTCTTTTTTCTTCACTACAACAGCTTTTGTTACTTTACAAAGTAAGCATTGTACTACATATGAAGAGTTTATAAAATATAATGTTTTGTAATTAATTTAATTACCCAACAGTTTATTCAAGCACAGCTGAAACAATTAGTCGGTTGAAAAAAATGTTTTTATTGGCAGCTGTTTTGATCATTTGTCACTTTTCATGTTAAAACATTTCATCGTTCCAGCTTCACAAATTAATTATTTAAAAAATTTTGATGTAGTGTTAATAATATTGAGGTTTGGATTGACATGAACAATTTTAGGCCAATCTCTCCCTGTTCTTTCAAAAATCTTGAAATCATTAGTTGCTATCCAATCATATTTGGACTTGCAGAACATTTGAAATTAAATACAATCCGGTTTCAGGTCAGTGCATAGTACAGTAACCACCACTTTAAAAGCTATGGATGACTTCAACGAGGCTATAGATAACAAATTTAGCTGTGTATCAATGTTCAGAGAACTTAGGGAGGCCTTCGGTACTGTGGACCATCCATCACTTGTTAATACCCTGCTGAGAGCAGGCATTGGATGCGAAGCGTCTAAATGGTTCCACAGTTACCTGACCAATCATTCACAAATGGATAAACATGGCAACGACATGTCAGATCCAGTCCTTGTTAGGAAAAGTGTTCCTCAAGGCTCAGTTTTGGGACCCTTGCTTTTCCTAGTTTACATTAATAATATTTGATGTTTAAATTCTGTAAGGATCATCTGTATGCAGATGACACAGTTCTGTACTCCTGTGCCCCCACAGCAGAGTTTGCCTTTTCAAATGTGCAGGCAGATTTTTATACCCTGCAATATGCTCTGTCAGATTTGAAGTTGCTTTTAAATTCCCACAAAACTAAAGTTATGATTTTTGCCACTGGGCGAACAAAGGTACCACCCCTCTCCATCACGACCCTGTATGGAGTCTGTATCCAGTCTGTTGATAATTACAAATATCTGGGTATCTGGTTTTACAAAAAAACTAAATTTTAAATACCATGTTGATTATCACGTTGACTTTTCTGTATAGGTGAAAGTCCTGCTTTTCCATGGCTTTAGAAAAACACTTAGTTGCTGGCCTTTTTCTGCCACAGATTGATTATAGGGACACTACCTACAGGTTTGCCTCTCTGTCCACCTTGTCCAAACTTGACCCCCTTTATCACTCAGCTCTCAGATATACATTATTGTATATTGGACAGACTGGAAGGATGGTCATCCCTTCACTTGCAAAGATATGTTAGGTAGACTTCCAAATTATTTAAACAGGACATTTTTAACTTTACAAAGCAGTCATAATCTCAGGTCACATAATGGGCTACAGTTCAAAGTGCCTGCTATCAGAACCAGGGCAGGTACTCAAAGTATAAAAGGGCACATGGAACAAGGATTTAAATAGGGCTGTTCTCAAAATATTGATACAGAAATATATCGTTATGTATTCCTTGCTGATATGCGTATACTGATGCTTCTGTATTGATACATCAGCGAATGGTATGACACAGTTTTGAAAAAGAAACACAGGGAATACCCAGCTCTTGCTTTAAACACTGTGGGCTGTTGATGGTGTTGCTGGGGATGTTGCTGCTGATACTACTGGTGGTGATCTGTGACTATCGATATTATAACAAACTTAGGAGATATTAGCTGATTAAACAAATATGTGACCGTGACAAGATGTAAAGATTGCTGACAGTATTTGGAACTGGCTCACAGTGACTGACCTGCTGTAGTGCTGCAGCCGCTGCCAAGGCTGACTGCTACGATAAAATAAGAGGGAGATGGTCACAGAGACTGCTGCACACCAAAAGCTGCAGGTAGAGGAAATAAGATACCAGGTTCAAAACTGTGTGGGAAATAATCTGAGAAGGATACAGTACTGGGAGAAAGGACGAGGTCGGCCAAGGCAGGGTTAAGAGTGAGACAAATCTATAGACAGGTGTGTGCGTGTGTCTATAGGCAATATTTTGATAATGATATATTTCACTGTGACATTTGGAATTCTTTATTAAATTTATTTAATCTTGCTTTAGCATATAAAAAGCATTCAAAATATATTTTCATGTCTGCCATCTCCTTTTACATGTTGCTACATCCCGAACCCCATTACCCATAAACGTGAAATAAAAACAAATAAAAAAAACAAATAAAGGAACAATTAATATAAAAATAACTGACAATGAAAATAATAATAATTTGAAAACCTTTCAAAACAATTATTATATTTGATTCTATTCTGAGTTTCCACTGGTTGTCCTCTGTTCGTGGCATCCATCTATCTCTCTCTTTCACTATCTCTCTTTCACTATCTGTCTTTCACTGTCTATTTTGCTATCTCTCTCTTTTAGTATCTCTGTCTTTCACCGTCTATCTTTCACTCTCTTTCACGGTCTATTTTTCACTCTCTTTGTCTTTCACTATCTCTCTATTTCACTATCTCTTTCACTATCTCTTTCACTGGCTCTGTCTTTCACCATGTCTATCTTTCACTATCTCTGTCTTTCATTATCTCTTTAGTATCTCTCTTTCACTTGCTCTATCTTTCACTATGTCTCTTTCTCTATCTCTTTCACTGGCTCTTTCTTTCACTATGTCTATCTTTAACTATATCTGTCTTTCACCATCTCTTCAGTATCTCTTTCACTGTTTCTGTCTTTCACTCTCTCTTTCACTATCTCTGTCTTTCACTGTCTTTTTCACTGGCTCTGTCTTTCACTATCTCTCTTTCACTCTTTCACTATTTCTTTCCCTGTCTGTGTCTTTCACTATCTCTTGTTCATTATCTTTCACTGGCTCTGTCTTTCACTAGGTCTATGTTTCACTATCTCTTTCACTATTTCTCTTTCACTGGCTCTATATTTCACTATCTCTCACCCAGAGCCTTAAAGCCAACCAACCCCGTGACATTGCAGGTTATAGTACTGCACAATGGTGGCGCCCTTTCAGTGAAAGATATGACAGTTCTTCTTTTCTTTTGTCTTTTATACGTTTACATTTGTCATGTTTCTTGTATAATTGTTGATCGTAGTGGAAATCCATTGTGTAAATGATGTAAACTTGATTGACTTCTTCATTTCCCTTTAAGGTCTCAATGCCATCATTGTTCCAAACAAGTACAGTTTTTCTTGTGCTGTCCTGCTTTCGAGCAGGGACTTGTAGGTGGGAATTAAATGGACATTATGGTGAGAGGTGCAAATGGGGGTTTAGTATTACAGTCTACATATTGCTTCAAACCAGGCAACACAGCTTAAAGCTTGCAATGGTTACAGTCACCAAGCATTTCAATTGTCTGTGAAAACAATCTGCTGGAGTAGTATTGGAGATACTTTGAAAATACTATGAACATATTCAAGTTCTGTTATTTGTTTATTGTGTTTTATCTGTAGCGCTTCATTTAATGTTGCTTCTATCACCACTAAAACAAATCCTGACTATCATAAAGCACTGAAGTTAACAGTTTGTGACTCCCTCTAGTGGACGTTGTGGAGTATTCTGTTGTCTTTGCTCCAAAGGTTTTTGTACAGAGTTTTGGTGTTTCCTGTCACTGTGGGCCGCAGAGCACAGTAGTACACAGCAGAGTCAGACAGCTGAAGCTTCTGGATCTTCAGAGGAACTGATTTGGAGGTGGAATCCAGTGTGGATGAAAATCTTTCTTTAAACTCTTCCTCTGTTTTCCCATCATCCTGTTGAACGCGGCTCAGTATGAATTTGGGGCTGTTGTCTCCATCCTGTTTGTACCAGAACAAAGTTGGACCTGAGTAACTCGTCTCAAAAGTACAGTCAAGTGTAACTGTGGCTCCTTCAGCAGCAATGACATCTCCTGCTGGCTGGGTCACTCTGTCTTCTCCTTTACACTCTGGGGAAGAAGAGAACATGCAGAGGAAGAGATGGATCAATAAAGATGATTGATTAAAGGAGAACAATCAGTAGGTTTAAAGAGTTACCTAGCCAGAGAGTCAGAATCAGGATGTTTCTCAGCCAGTGGTTCATGTCTGCAGTGAGAGGGGAGGAGAGAGAGGAAGAACATTGATACTCTGATGGATCTGGGCCTTCACATCATTGGCCCTTCCTCTTCATCATCTGTTGAGGAACTCTCAACATTTACATCTCATTTACATCTCAGCTGTTTAGCTGATGCTCTTATCCAGAGCAGCTCATAATGAGGAGCTTTAACATGTGAACTTTCTGTTACAACAAAGTCTCTTTAACCAGTTTTCACCCTGGAATAGTTAATTCATCAACATGGGTCTGTAATCATTTTAGTTTGTCTCATCATCAGTGATACCAAAGCATTCTGTGTAGAAGACTTCCTTGTGGAGTGCCTTACTGTACAGAAATAGCCTCAATTAAACACCATGATCTGGATTAACTGTGTTTTATTAATAACAGGAGTAATATTGTAACTTGTCATTAGATTGTGTTGTCAGTGTCCACTTGGTGGCGCTGCTGTTCAGTAAAAGGAGGAGCTGCAGTGAGTAAATCTTCAGAGGAGCTGTCAGGTTTTTGTACAGAGTTTTGGTGTTTCCTGTCACTGTGGGCTTCACAGCACAGTAGTACACAGCAGAGTCTGTCACTGCAGCAGAGGAGATCTGCAGATCCAGATGGGTTTTATCATCACTCACTTTAGCAGACCATCCAGAGTTTGTTGAATTTTGTGTTCCCAAGTGAAAGATGAGGAACTCTGGTGGTTTTCCTGGATATTGTCGATACCAGAAGAAATAATCAGTGCCATCAGCTTGTTTAGAGTATTTGTAGGACAGAGTAACAGAGCTGCCTTCTAAAGTGAACTCTTCATTCCTGACTGCAGTGAGTTCTTCACAGCTGACACCTGAAGGAAGAGATAACTCTGTTATTTCATGTTGTAAAAGACTCAACAAATGAATCCCATCCAGAAAAGTTAGTAATGAAACTTTCTCAGCAGGATCTCACATACCTGTTAGAATGGATAGTAACAGTAGAGAAAGTACATAATAGTCCAATGACAGCATGTTGAATAAAGGGAATGTTTCTGCTTTGTGTATTGAACTCTGCTGAATATGGAAGTTCCTCTCTCTTCTATAGTTCACTAACAGCTTAGCTCCTCCCTCAATCTCTCCGTCTCCTCGCAGCTCTGGATTTTCACTTCTCTCTGTTCCACTTCCTACCTTACCAGTAAATTCCACAGGATGTGAAAGTTTTAGCTTTATTTTCTGTAAATGAGACGTAGGTAACACTTTATTTTAAGGTGCTTGTAATAGGCAGTAATTAACAGTTAATAAGACACTTATAAGACCTTATAGGATGCTTATAAACAACCATAGAAGTGTTAATTAAAGCCTAATAAACTATTAATTGATTAATTATTGCTTATAAGACAATTATAGGCCTTTATTAGAGCTATAAGTTATATATACCTCATGAATGCGAGATTGGACATCACATTGTAATTTGCACTCCTAATACAGCTACCCTTTATACTTCAGTACATTTCTTATTTTCTTAGACAACTAAGATGGTTTGTGAAGGTTTTATCTTGTTCCTGTCGACTTTAAATGTGTATTTTATGACGATAAAATGACAGTTAATTTGAATAGAGTCTGGTGGGTTTGGCGATTTCAGGGATGTTTCATGTTAAAACAAAACGGATCTTACTCTTTAACAAAAGCTTGACCTCAGCTGGGATCCTTTCCATAATGTTGTCAGACACTAAGAATAATTATCTGAGCGTGTCAGTGGCAAAACAAGCACGTTATGGATGGAAACTGAAGGTGTGCAGCGGCATATTAATGTTACATTGTAGCTTGTTTCACGCTGCCACTGCAGCCATCTCTTGGACCAATTTCTAATGTCCAGGTTGAGAGAAAACACCCTAAGACATTATTCAAGCTGCTCTAAAAATCCAAGTGCTAATGTTAGCTTACACGACATGCCTTATTTTATATCTGCATGCTAATGTTAGCTTAAACTACATGCCTTATTTTAAACTGCATGCCTTATTTTAAACTACATGCCTTATTTTAGAGCTGCATGCTAATGTTAGCTTAAACTACATGCCTTATTTTATAGCTGCATGCTAAAGTTAGCTTAAACTACATGCCTTATTTTATATCTGCATGCTAATGTTAGCTTAAACTACATGCCTTATTTTAAACTACATACCTTATTTTAAACTACATGCCTTATTTTATAGCTGCATGCTAATGTTAGCTTAAACTACATGCCTTATTTTAAACTACATGCCTTATTTTATACCTGCATGCTAATGTTAGCTTAAACTACATGCCTTATTTTAAACTACATGCCTTATTTTAAACTACATGCCTGATTTTAAACTACATACCTTATTTTATATCTTCATGCTAATGTTAGCTTAAACAACTCGCCTTATTTTATAGCTACATGCTAAAGTTAGCTTAAACTACATGCCTTCTTTTATGGCTGCATGCTAAAGTTAGATTAAACTACATGCCTTATTTTATAGCTGCATGGTAACGTTAGCTTAAACAACTCGCCTTATTTTATAGCTGCATGCTAAAGTTAGCTTAAACTACATGCCTTATTTATAGCTGCATGCTAACATTAGCTTAAACTACATGCCTTATTTTATAGCTGCATGCTAACATTAGCTTAAACTACATGCCTTATTTTAAACTACATGCCTTATTTTATAGCTGCATGCTAATGTTAGCTTAAACTACATCCCTTATTTTAAACTACATGCCTTATTTTATAGCTGCATGCTAATGTTATCTTAATCTACATGCCTTATTTTATAGCTGCATGCTAATGTTAGCTTAAACTACATGCCTTATTTTATAGCTGCATGCTAACATTAGCTTAAACTACATGCCTTATTTTATAGCTGCATGCTAATGTTAGCTTAAACTACATGCCCTATTTTATAGCTGCATGCTAACATTAGCTTAAACTACATGCCTTATTTTAGAGCCGCATGCTGAAGTTAGCTTAAACTACATGCCTTATTTTATAGCTGCATGCTAACATTAGCTTAAACTACATGCCTTATTTTAAACTACATGCCTTATTTTATAGCTGCATGCTAATGTTAGCTTAAACTACATCCCTTATTTTAAACTACATGCCTTATTTTATAGCTGCATGCTAATGTTAGCTTAAACTACATGCCTTATTTTATAGCTGCATGCTAATGTTATCTTAATCTACATGCCTTATTTTATAGCTGCATGCTAATGTTAGCTTAAACTACATGCCTTATTTTATAGCTGCATGCTAACATTAGCTTAAACTACATGCCTTATTTTATAGCTGCATGCTAATGTTAGCTTAAACTACATGCCCTATTTTATAGCTGCATGCTAACATTAGCTTAAACTACATGCCTTATTTTAGAGCCGCATGCTGAAGTTAGCTTAAACTACATGCCTTATTTTATAGCTGCATGCTAACATTAGCTTAAACTACATGCCTTATTTTAAACTACATGCCTTATTTTATAGCTGCATGCTAAAGTTAGCTTAAACTACATGCCTTATTTTAGCTGCATGCTAAAGTTAGCTTAAACTACATGCCTTATTTTATAGCTGCATGCTAACATTAGCTTAATCTACATGCCTTATTTAACTACATGCCTTATTTTATAGCTGCATGCTAATGTTAGCTTAAACATGCCTTATTTTAAACTGCATGCCTTATTTTAAACTACATGCCTTATTTTAGAGCTGCATGCTAATGTTAGCTTAAACTACATGCCTTATTTTATAGCTGCATGCTAAAGTTAGCTTAAACTACATGCCTTATTTTATATCTGCATGCTAATGTTAGCTTAAACTACATGCCTTATTTTAAACTACATACCTTATTTTAAACTACATGCCTTATTTTATAGCTGCATGCTAATGTTAGCTTAAACTACATGCCTTATTTTAAACTACATGCCTTATTTTATACCTGCATGCTAATGTTAGCTTAAACTACATGCCTTATTTTAAACTACATGCCTTATTTTAAACTACATGCCTGATTTTAAACTACATACCTTATTTATATCTTCATGCTAATGTTAGCTTAAACAACTCGCCTTATTTTATAGCTACATGCTAAAGTTAGCTTAAACTACATGCCTTCTTTTATGGCTGCATGCTAAAGTTAGATTAAACTACATGCCTTATTTTATAGCTGCATGGTAACGTTAGCTTAAACAACTCGCCTTATTTTATAGCTGCATGCTAAAGTTAGCTTAAACTACATGCCTTATTTTATAGCTGCATGCTAACATTAGCTTAAACTACATGCCTTATTTTATAGCTGCATGCTAACATTAGCTTAAACTACATGCCTTATTTTAAACTACATGCCTTATTTTATAGCTGCATGCTAATGTTAGCTTAAACTACATCCCTTATTTTAAACTACATGCCTTATTTTATAGCTGCATGCTAATGTTATCTTAATCTACATGCCTTATTTATAGCTGCATGCTAATGTTAGCTTAAACTACATGCCTTATTTTATAGCTGCATGCTAACATTAGCTTAAACTACATGCCTTATTTTATAGCTGCATGCTAATGTTAGCTTAAACTACATGCCCTATTTATAGCTGCATGCTAACATTAGCTTAAACTACATGCCTTATTTTAGAGCCGCATGCTGAAGTTAGCTTAAACTACATGCCTTATTTTATAGCTGCATGCTAACATTAGCTTAAACTACATGCCTTATTTTAAACTACATGCCTTATTTTATAGCTGCATGCTAATGTTAGCTTAAACTACATCCCTTATTTTAAACTACATGCCTATTTTATAGCTGCATGCTAATGTTATCTTAATCTACATGCCTTATTTTATAGCTGCATGCTAATGTTAGCTTAAACTACATGCCTTATTTTATAGCTGCATGCTAACATTAGCTTAAACTACATGCCTTATTTTATAGCTGCATGCTAATGTTAGCTTAAACTACATGCCCTATTTTATAGCTGCATGCTAACATTAGCTTAAACTACATGCCTTATTTTAGAGCCGCATGCTGAAGTTA